ACGAGTCTCGTAAGTAGAACGGATCCTTTATGATCAGACACCCGAGATTCGAGACAAAATTCATTTAAACGCGATTTTACTCGAGTGTAATTTTCCCGAGATAAAACAACTCGTACAAGCATTAATTTGATTAATTTTACAAATGCCGAACAACGAGGAACAAAACGTTGAATCGAATAAAATTGATCGACTCGACGAGTCTCGTAAGTAGAACAGATCCTATATGATCAGATACTCGAGATAACTCGCGACCATTACCATTAAAAATTGCGATAAAATCGACTTTCCAAAGACTGCACACGTTAGATTTTCTTGTAAAGTCATCGGGGAAGAATAATCCTTTCTTGCTTGCAACAAAGTATACGTGGATACGACGATCATTTTTCAGCGGAGGTATATGCCGAAGGGAATAGTGCTTCCCTTGATATCCGAAGATATCAATAATTATACTATAGAACGAAAAACTTAAGATTTGACGCGCGTGCAAGTAGCGCGCGATCTCGAGAGAGTAGAAACCATTAATCGTCTTCCCATCTTTCGCAGGTCTTTTCAGACGAGCTATTCTCATGTCCGGATCAGCGTTGAGCGCCGATGCTATCGGGAAAGCACCGTTGCAGATCACCAAACAGGTACATCGATCGATCGAAACGAACGTTGTTGCTCACGTCGTTTTCCGCGATTTTTTTTCTTCGTCCAAATCGTGCAAATCAATAATTGAAAAGGATTATCACGTCGACTCGTACGTTGAGCGTTTACCATTAATGCTTCGATTTTAACAGGTATACTTTAAAAGACGATTAGCTAAACCTTAAATTTCTTCGATTTCTTTAGTTCAATTTAATTCTCGCGTAATTTATTGGAAAAGAAAAAATAAAAATCGATATATAGCATTCACGATTTAAAATGAAAACGAATCCTTTTTACTTTTCGAATCTCAAGATAGACGGCCACAGATGGATCGATGTGGAGGAACATTGCGAGATTTCAAACTCACAATGGATGATGGTTAGCCGTGAAAAGGGAAAGTACGATTTTACGCGGATCGACGTTTGACTTGTGGGCCGAATCGGAACGTTTCAATCCGCCGACGCGTCTGACATCTCGTCGACGGAAGATCGATATCGCGTTCCCTTCTAGGGAGCCACGTGCTGAACGCCTCGTTTCCAGCACGGAAGGACGTAAGGTCGCGACTCGAATATCGGCGGAAATATCGTTTTTCTCATCGCGAGCGGCAATTTGGCGGATGATGGACGTTGAGAGCGTCCGTTTGGCGACTCGATAAAACGGTTCGAATCATTTTTTCCAGGTGGCGCACGCCCTTCACTGCCCCACCACCACTGACAGCGATCTGGCAATATGTTTGCGCGGCCAAGACGTGGACACTTTGCTGAACGTGAAGATTCATAAACCGAATTACGTCCCCGCATTCGCTCCGTTGATCGACAATGCGGTCATTCCGGACAAGCCTTACAATTTGATGAAAAATCCTCAGATGTTCGACAGGTATATCGGCGGAACACATCGTTGAATCGAATATTTATCATCACAGACCGAAACCGTTTTAAAAGCGTTTACGTATTACGTAGGATTAACGCAAGTTTGTACAAGTTTGTACACGTCCACGCACTTTTAGCTCAATGATTTATCGCGCAGTTCACTTTTTCCCTTTAAATGAAAATCCGACAATACGGAGAAAAATATTTGTATACGTATTTTACGATGTAATATTCTAGATATAATTTAAATAACGAAAGAGCAAAGTAAATTTTGCCCGCCGGTTATCCATATTTTCAGAACGATTAATCTTTCCTTTTTTTTTTTTTTTAATTAATTCGTTGATAGAGGGCACAGCTCGATCGCCGCCCGCCTAAATGCATTTCTATCGAATCGAAGGAAAATAAAAAAAAATTCCATCATATATCCGGGATATATACGCGGATATAAAAATGATTGAATTCGAAAATTTATAGATGACTTGGAAAGCGCGCCGTTTTTGCGGCGGCAATTCGAAAGCTGTTGGAAAACTTTTATTTAATTCCGCCCGAGTGAAATTTTCGTCCATCTATCGTTTCAAAGTTACGACTTGGCCTAGTTGTACGTACTACGCGAGAAGTAGGTACGCCGCCGCGTAATATAAATTCAATGGGTAACGTACGTTTAGAAAGATATGTTTCTCGTGTAAAAGCGCGTACGCCTCGTAAATTGGAGAAACACGAAACACGTCAAGGGTTATAAATGCGTTTATAATATAAACAGGTTCGATCTGATGTACGGAGTGACGGAGTCGGAGAAGTATCACTTGTTGTCACCGGTGGATCTGATGCACGGGATGTCAGAAGGTCAGAGGGACGCGGTCCTGAAGGAGCACGCCAAGGTACGACGACTCGTCACGACTCGACACGATTTCTTTCCGCCTAATTTTCTCGGCCCGTTGGAATCCCGTCTCTTCCGTGGATCGTGATTTATCGTGGAAGGGGAGATTGGTGTACGCGAAGGGAAGGTGTTTCGGATAGGAATATTTGTTGTACGCGATATTGAATCCTGGGAAATCGAGGCGATAACAAAGTGACGCGATATTTCTTGGTCGGCAGGCGACGCACGAGCTTGAAGCGGAATTAATCCTGTCCAAGATTCTGGAACAATACGGCGATTTCTCGCCAGGATTCGAGGGGGAGTACATGCTGAAGAATCGCGATCTCGTGCTCGAGGCTCTATCCGACAGCGGCACAGTCGCCCCCTTAATAATGGCCGCCAACTTGCACTCGAGGGCGAATCCAAACAGCTACATGTACGTCTTCGCGCATCCCAAAGCGACGCAGGAGTACTCCGGCGTAAGTAATCACGATCCCTCTTCTTCTTCTTCTTCTTCTTCTTCTTCTCTATTTCCAACGCGATAACAAATAATAAATATTATCGTTTACGTTTTGTATAAATATCGTGCGATCTTCGAGAAAAAATAGGAAAAATTCTGCGTTGAAAACGATCTCGACGATCTTAACTCCATGAAATATGACGAAAGGTCTGCTCCCTATTGAAGAGTCGCAAGAGTGATAACGGCTCAAGCCTCTTCTCAGCCTGACGAATTCGGCCGGATCCGGAAGGCGGATAGAAAATATGAAGGAAGCGCATAAATCGGAGGCGGGCCCCCGTGGAAACTGGAGCACGTACGATTAGACGGTGTACTTTGCATTTTATTCATTTTCCGCGCGAGATTCCTTGGCGGAAGCTAGTCTGAGGGGGAGCGTGACCTACTCTGACCGGGTTGGCTGGATAGAAAAATCCCGGCCCATTTGGACACCGTCCAACTATTTTTATCGGCGCTGCGTACCGGCCTGTTACGCTCTGTCCGAGAGTACACTGACCGGACCTGTGTGTGGCGTTAAACCGACAAGAATCTAACGTTTCCAACCTTGCTCGTCGTTACCTACGGAATTTACGAATAATTTACGAACGACAAAAGGAAGATTGCGAGACCTTCTCGACAGGAATATCGCTCGCCGTTGTTGCTGCGAATTCACCATATCTGCGAATATTATTCTCAACAATTGCAATATCAACTTTGACTATTTTTCTCCGATATGTTTATTATGTGTATCGGATATGAACGTGTCTTTAAAGAGAGTTTGAAGATGGCGATTTTTGACGATTTTCACCACCACGAATTCAATTTGTGATGGAGCTCAATTCCAAAGTGCTTGAAGTCGAGCGATTAATTTAGATCGTGAACAACAGGTCGTAATAATTCCTTTTTTTTTAATGAGTGAACGCGAAACGCGTTATTGTGAAACATTCTTGTTTGCAGCAACAACGTAAGTACACCGTGCACAGCGAGGAGTTGCCGTATTTGCTGGGCGCGCCTCTTGACGGGACGCGCGGCCGATACGATATCGGCGAAACGCTCTTCTCCGAGGCTATAATGAACTGGTGGTGCAGCTTCGCCTACATAGGGTAAGTTGCTGCTATCCCTAAACGATGGAATAAATCGATCGAATTAATAAATTCAACGATATCCAGAGAAAACAGAGACACGATGTTAAATCTCCTCTAAGCATTCTGTTATTCCGCTCTCGTTTTCATCTCCCGGAGATTCCCTCGGACGTCGGTTGGAGGAAATAAAACGGCGTAAAATGTTCAATAAAAATTATGATTCTCGCCAATCGGCGGAACGGCCATTACGAGGGTTGACGGGACGAGAAACGAGCATCAGGGAGATTTAACAGGGTCGCGGTTAAATCTATTTGGAAAAATAATTACAAGTCTCGTGGACGTGGTGGGCGTAGTATAACTGGGAATGGTTAAACATAAATATTCAGAGACCCGTATAATTGAAAATCATGTTTGAGAGGGCGTCACTCTATTTTCCGTTGGCCGGCTGATAATGAATTTCCACAGGTTGAACTCGAAATTCCCCGTCGCAGTTTTATCCCAGAGAGTATCTCGGATTATTTGTATAAAATTCTGCGAGATTTATGCGCACAAAGCGGTCAAAGCGAAGCCGAGGTGGAACGATTGTGGGTGGAAAAACGGCGTAGGTGAATGAAAACGACGTTTCCGAATTTATTATTTAATGATAGAGTCGAACCAGCTCGAATTCGCTAATTTCAACTGACGGTATAAACATATATTCGGATTTTGTGCGAATTTTCATCGCGTTCCCGCTCGTTGTTTCGCTAAAAATTTCAGCCCATTTAATCGTTTTATAATCGATTTTTCGTAAAAATTTAAATCTTTGAAAGGAAAGAAGTAACAAATTTGCGTTTAACGGCGTATAATAGAATTGAAAAAAAGTTGAAAATATTTGATAATTCTGAAAATGGAAATAAAAGATGATGATAAAATTCGCGCTGTCGAACTCGACAGTGTTCGAGGATCGTCGAAACTTGTTGACTTTTTTTTTCTTTTTTTTTTTTTTCCTTTTTCGTGATATCACTCTACCTATCAATAGAAGACTCGATTGGTGGACCGTAAATCGCGATGACTAAAATGCACATCTGCTAAATGGAGCGCGATAATTAAAACGTAAGTTAAATGGACTAGTTCGGCCCGGTTCCCATTATTTACTATTCGAACGTGTTGTTGTTCCACAACTCATTACGAAGCCTTGCGCGTGAAAAAGTAGCGGGGAATTCTTTTTTTTTTTTTTTTTTTGCTATTTAATTTGTTCAACTCGAATATCTCGAAGGAAAAAAAAAAAAGCGGCTTGGAAATTGGAAATCCTTAAACAGAAAGATGATTAAGCTTTTCCTTCCGTCGACCGTCAAATACCCGAGAGCTGAATTTTACATCTAATATCAAAATTTCTTCAAAGGGAATTTAGATTACCATGTTTAAGAGATGGATACCGCTCAGGTGCGGTTGATCTCTCCAAAGTTTCAAAGTTTCTATTTTTCTTTTTTCTCCCCCCCTCCCCTCCCCCCTCCCCCTCCCCAAGTCCGGGATTTGTCGGTAACTGATGTACTCGAAAGGGGGAGGGTGGGGAAATTCGAAAGAATGACGATACGATCCGATATATTTTCTCGAAACTAATTTAACATCCGAGTAATTTCGTTGCTAACCCAATCGAAAAGAGCCCCATTTATTATTGGAAATAACCCGACAGAACAAGTTCGCGCAAAGAATGGAGGTTGTAGAAAAATCTAAAAATTACTATACAACGGAAATGGAAACGTTGAACCGAAATAAAAACGACGATCGATCGATCGACGAGCGGGCTGCCTTCAATTCGAAATACCTTGTTATCCCGGTTATTGGTGAATTAACGATCCGATACGTCGGCCATTTTAATTTTCTCAATACAAGCAGATTACCTATATATATACAAATTACTGGTACATTTCATTTCTGGGGAGGGACAAACGTCGATTCCCTCCGGAATCCCCTCCGCTCGACCAATCGATACCGCTGTTTTATCTTCGGATGGCGGTGCGAAATTTCACTCGTATTTCATCGGGCTGCGTCACGAGATAATTTTCGAAAACGAAACACCGATCGACTCGCGTGTTTCCAAGTCGTCGTTTTTCCTCGTTCCTTCTCGCTCGCGCCGCCCACCTTTATATCTTTTTCGTATCGATGATCCTATCGATGGCGGATCTCCACGATTGTTCGGCTTCCTTGGAAGCTGAATACCCGAGCGAATCGATAACACTTTGAACTCGCGGTGTTGCGCCTTTCCAACATTATCCTTTTATCCGGTTCATTTACGATCAACCACGAGTATCCGCGAGATAATTCTCTTCCCATCGGCGGCGAACTCGAGATTTTTTCCTCCCCTCCCCACCCATTTCTCTTTGATCGAGGCAAAATTGCATATGCATCGCGACACGACGAGAGATCAGACCAGACCAGAGGGGAAGGAACTGGGTCGATCCAATTAAGCGAAACAAAGCTGTTTAATGCACGCGGTCGCAGCCGAAGTAAACGTCACGTGTGTGGCTCGTGACACCGGCTGATCGATATCGAGCGTGACACCGTGTCACGCCTCCTTCCACGGAATATATCTTCCACGGATGCAGCGATACGTATTCGTGGTACGTAGGTGGAGTAGGCGTGGTTATTTTATTCTACAGTTGGGGAAGAAAGAAGGGAAACATCGGTGATGGAACGGATGGATCGTTCCGTTTAACATTTTCGACCGTGTTTTCCTCTTCTTTTTCTCCTTCGTCGCTTCGATGTAAACAAATTTCATCAGTTTGAAGAGAAATATTTGGCTGAGTCGTGCAATCGAACGTAAAATAGACAGAGGGTGGGGAAGCGAGATTAATTTTTTTTAATTTTCGCATGTTTAATTTATATTCGAATTCAATGATTCCGTGAAAGATGCTGCATGGAAAAGAGGGGACCGATCGATAGAGTTCGATTCAAATTGGTGGAGCGAGAATTGTCGACTGTCGATGATGTCCGATCGGGTGGATTTTATGAGAAGAAGAATCTCGTGGAAGAAAAGAAACGATAGAGCGTGAACGGTAAAATTGGGATCGTTTGGAAGGGAGCGATGGTGTGTCGCCGGGGAATGGCCCCCCCTCTTTTTCCCTTTGAGATACTCGTTCGTCGAGCACAAGTCGGGGAGGAAAGCGCGAGTATCGCGTAGCAGAAACGGAGTAGAGTTATCGTGTATCAAAATTTCGATATTGGACTGGTTTTCCGATATCCGAGCGTGGATATACGATATCATTTTGCGAGCGTTGAAGCTCGAGCAGCTGGGAATGTCGCTTCGAACGATCCTTGCCTGCCACTTTATTGAAAACATCGCCGAATCGCAATTTTGGTTTTCATTCTGGTATTCGATTCCAATTGGACACCGAGAACGATCCGCGAGCTTGTAATCCTCCTGTGACAAAAATATTCGTCGATCGCGGATCAAAGGTATTTTATCTTACGAATCGCTGCAAACTCGATGGAAATCTCGTCTCGAGATTTTTCGGGAATCGACCCGAAAAGAGTTTAAACACTCGATTCGTGATCGATATTATACGAGGAGAAACAATGAAAAATATTTCTCTTCCTTTTTCTTCTTCTTCTTCTTCTTCTTCTTCACACAATTTTTGCAATATAAATTACTAGGAACCCAAACGTGAAAGCAATCTCAAAGCGATATCCGTACATGAGGAATGGACTGAAGGAATTGAGCCAGTACGACGTCGATTGGCCCGAGTACGATCCTCAGAATCAGAGGTACCTCAATCTTAGTAAGTTCTCAAGATTGTCTTGATCGGCGACTCGCTACACCGACCACTGATTAAAGAAATATACGAATGGTAAATGAATACAGCGATTCCACCGGGCACGGGTATGCAGTACCGACTTGCTGAAATGCAATTCTGGAACGAGCATCTACCCAAAATGCTTCTTCATCCTGGCAAAGACATACCGTTGCCGATCCGACCGAAAGGGCCGAGACCGCAAATTCTCGACATCGCTGATGGGATTGGAAAGTACGCGAATGCGAGCAGGGATTATGACACATACGGTTCCAGGTTGGTAACTTTTTTTTCGTCATTGATTAATACTCGATTATTAATTCCATCTCAAAAATTCGTACAATGATGTCATTTGCATTTCTTTCGAACACGTACACCTTCTTTCATACATTTCATACGTGCGTATCGTTCGTTTATGGCGTTAAAAATTAATACGAAATTCATCTCTGATTAAATTTTAAAATATCATTGTGAAATATAGAAGGCGTTTTTAAGTAATAATAAAAACGCGGTTAAACGCGGCTCCGCGTTAATCCAGCCACGGCTCTCCGCTAAAAGCATCGTCTCTTCCAGCATTTCGAGAGGGGATGATTTGAATTATAAATTAGATCGAAAGATAAATCTGTCGCGTATATATATATATATATATATATATACTTTTCTAGAAATAATTTAATTTAATTCGGCCGCGTATCGACGTTTAAACGTATTGTCTAATTAACGAGCGGGCCACCGACGCGACAATCATTGTTATTTTGAAGCGGGTGAAACGCGTGTTATTTATCCTCTCGTTGTCTCGTGAAAAATTCAGGTCCGGAATCGATTGAAAAATTAAAAGCACTCATTTTCGTGCCACGTTGTACGAGCCGCTCTGTTTATCAAACCGTGCGCTCAACATTTAATGAAACGTCACTTGCACCGCGCCGCGTCCTGCTTCCTTATTTGTCCCCAAACGTTTAAATTATTATTCGCGCGCCGTTATTTGAGCGGAATTTATTCAAAACGGGACGGCAACTACAAAGAGGCGAAAGATTTCGCGCTCGAGTTTCGCTTAGGAGGCTTAACTCGTTCATTAACATTCCGGGATACCCATCATTCGGCCCCGCATTTTCGCCGAACAAACAACCACACCATGATTTAATCCCTCGAAACAAGTAACTGGTTAAATTCCAACATCTTATCGAATTACTCGCAATCCCGTCTATGAATATCTGTACAAGGCCTTACAAATCTGAGAAACTAGGCAACTAAAGTTCAATCCAAACTCGCGTGTACTCCTGGAACGATACAAGTTTTCCCACCTCCTCCTCCTCCTTCCGGGGAAAGGGAAGCTTCCCTGCAAACAACACCTGCAGTTCTCCCAACTTTCCAAGCTCTCTCGCCGTCTTTGCCACGCTCGTAAAAATTAACATCTCCCTTTCCTCTGATTTATCGTTATCCAACACGCCACTTTCTTCCTTCCTTCCTTTCTTCTTTTCTTTCGAATAAACAGATTGCTCGCGTTGCAGATTCAAGGAGGGGACGACGGAGGAGAGATCGACGACGACGACGAGCGCCGAGATCGCTACCTCCCCCCAATCGTTTGAGGAAGAAGCGATTCCGCAGCCAAGCGCGCCAAAGAGTTCTTCCGTGATCGCTATGCTGACTGGTTTCGGCGTGTTATTCTTGATGATCAACTTCACGGCCTGCCTCTACCTGTATTGCAAGAAGCAAGAGACGAAGATGAAGGGGGGCGGGGTGAAGAGGCGGGCCAGCCAGAAGGAAGGGAAATCGGACAAGTACGAGAACCATTACGGGGAGCTCGGTTACAAAAGCGACAGTAAACCGGATCTGAACGACGTGATAAAGAACGACAAGGCGTACGACAACAACTCGAACTTTGGCAGACGCTCGAAATTGTCCAGGCAGAGTTCCGGCTCTACCATAGACACCCACATCAAGGTTAGGGAATGGATACAACAGGAGATAGTGCACAGGTAGGTTGTTGGTCACTCCTTCTCTTGGCCTCTCTTTCGACCAGTTTCGCAACGACGTCGTCGTCGTCTGTTGAGTTAATTAATCGAATCGACTCCCGGAGACTTTGATGTTTCGCCGATTCATCGGAATTAACGTCCGTGCAGGAGGCTACGTCTGTTTTCGATTACGCGTCGTTGAAATTCGCTTCGATTCGCTCGGAGGATCGATAGATGTCGATCGGCGATGACGCTTCGGACCAAGTTCGTTTCATCTTCTTCGTTGAATCGCGCTCCTCCCCGTTCCATGAAATTGGACAGTTGCGCGTCCAACAGTGCTTTCTAACTTCCCTCCACCACTCTGTCGCCTTATTCCGCTCGTCGTCTCTTTCTTTGCCGATTGTACGATTAATCTCTACGCGTCTCCGAATTTCGAAACCGTCCATCTTCTTTACTTGGCTAAAATATTTTGTTGGAAAAGGTGTTCCCCCAGGTTTCTCAGGAAGACGCGCGAAACGTTGCAAAAGGAGCATCAGGACAAATTGACGAAGCAGCAACGAGAAGAAGAAGAAGTGGAGAAGAAAAGGTTGGAGGAGAAGCTGTCGAAGGAGAGGAAAGAGGAGGCGCGATACGATAAAGATCCGACGCTGATCGTGCGTCCTGGCAAGAAATCAAAGGTCCCGAAGGTATCGGTTGCCATCGACGCCACACCCGCGGCCAGAACGGAATCGATCCTCAACCAGATGCCTATCGAATTGGCGAAGGGCGTCGAACCGGGCGTCGACTCGTTCAACAAGAGTATCGATTATCCGATGATGATCGATCCTAGCCAGTTGCAAACAGCTCCTCAGGTGGTTGTCATAGAGCACCATCACTCGAAAAGCGATCCGTTACCGATGGAAAACGTGTTGAAGAGCGTGAAACCGAATTTCTCCACGCCGAGGATTTACGAGTCCGATTCGGGGAGCACGAGCAGCCTCTACGCCAAGATCAACCCCAAGTTGAAATCCCGCTTGCCCCGCCCCGGTGAATTGCCCGTGAATCGCGACGGTGGGTCGGCGATAGATCAGGGCGAGGATATTTACATGAAAATGGGGCCCAAGTTGACCACGTTCGGTGCGAACGGTCCGCTCGCCGACACTTGCGATATAAACGTAACCTGCAGGGAGCCGTCTCCGGAGAAGAGGGAATGCGCGAGCCCGGAAGAAGCCCTGAGGACCATCAAGAGGAGAAACTATCCCAAAGTTCTGCCAGACATCGAGAAAAGGCGATCCCTCCCGGCGCCCGGCAGCTTGTTCGCGTCCAAGCAGGGCGCAGGTTCGTTGAAGGATTACAGGAGCGGATTCCACTCGTCCCATCAACCCCCTCAACCCCCGCCGAGGACGTTCGGCCCGTCCAAGAGCTTGGAGTTCGCCGAGGAGAGCGAGAATCAATCCGAGACAGAGACGATCGTCACTAATCTTCACGTTGGCCCGTTGCTCAGAAGGCAGGATTATACGGCGAAGAACAACTCCGATCCTAGTATCATCGACTCCTTGGACGAGAGGATGGACAACAGATCCAGGGTGCAGAGCGGTGGCGGTAGCGTGGACACGATTTATTCGGGCAACGCGGGTCACGAGATCGGGCAACCGATTTTCCAGAGCGTGGGCAAGGACATAGGGAATCCGATCGCCTTGTTGCAGGCGGGTATCGGTAATCCTAACTGGTACAAATCGACTCCGACGGGGAACGGGGATATCTGTATAGGGGCGGCATCCTCGGAGCCCAGGATCACTATCAGGGAGGTGGACAAACAGCCTCAATTCGGTGGCTCGAACTGGGACACAAGGATCGAGCCGAGAATCGTGATCACGCCTAGGGTCGGCAATCTTCTGGGACAAAATCAAAGCTCGAGTCGGACGGTGATGAACCTGTCGTCGGGCACCGATTCCGACGAGAGACTCGACGGAGAGATCAAACCTGCCGCCCCTATCTACGAATCGAATCAATCGGCCGCTACGCCGAGCACCTCGATCGAGCAATCGGATCCCTCGTGCTCCTCTCCCGATTCCGGATTGCCGAGCGTGCAGGCCGGCCAAGAGCCGCGGAAGGAACCGCGAATAATAATCACGGCCAGGGACACGAAGGGCTCCTCTAGTTTGAAACAACCGAAGATCATCATCAAGCCTACGTCATCGAGCTTGCAGAGGAGCAGGGATCACAGGAATATTCCGAAGGTGTCGGCCATTCCATCCCCGGAGCAGAGCTGTCAGAGTTGTGTAGACAAGTCGGGCGAGCAGAGGGAAAAGCCGCCGTTGAAGGAGAAACCGAAGATCACTAGGATCCCCTCGTTCTCGAGGCGCGTGGACGAGGCCTCGGGCGGAACTGAGAGGGCGGCCGTCCCCTCGTACCCCGAGAAGGCGGAAATCGTGCACAGGGTGGAGGCGGTGGCCAGCGGCAAAGTGGTGAACGTGACCGTGGCTTGCGACGGGAGGTCGAGCATTCCTACGTTGCAACGGAAGGAGGGTGAAAAGTGTTCGAGCATCGAGACGGGGGCCGGGGCGTTGAACACGGCCACGATCAAAAAGAACCGGCGGGCAAAAAGTAGGAAGTATCCGTCGCGCGCTTCTTCCACCATTGTTCAACTTCGGACCGTTACTTTCGGCTGAGTAGTTTTCTATGTTTGAAATCAACTATTCGGTTGTCCACTTGACGCTACTTAATCCTTTGCCAATGGACGATGCGGCGAGGAGAGGGAAAGTAATTGGTTCCTTTTTTTTTTCTTTTTTTTTTTTTCTTTTGCCTGTCTGGGGAAATTTGGGAAAAGGATAAAACGATACACGGATATATATATATATATATATCTTATTAGGGACCACGAAATTGAAATCCGAAGCAGTGTACGATACTCGATACGAAGATCGTGATAAGATGATGAGATCGAAGCGTGTTAATTTCTTAACGATTTTTATTGTTTTTAAATATTATTATTCGTAGTAGATGTAATTTTTCTTTTTGTACCATATTCGGGAATATTTGCAATGATTAAAACGAAGTCAAATAATAAACTCTTTGAAATAACGTTTTTTTAACCTTTAGTCGTGTATAATCGTCGTGCACGGTATTAATTTTATACAAACGATATGCCTAAATTAAACGATATCTACGCTACGTTGAATAAAACGATCTGTTATTATTCAACACCGTATTTATTCACATATCTGAAACACTGGTAACCATCGATTATTTCTTTAATCTCTCCGTGTATAAATTGTTCTCCTAATTGCTCTTATCTCGAACAAATATTTCCCTCCTTTTTTCTTTTTCTTTTCTTACCACGTTATCGAACGTCTTGTACGCGCTCGGTGCATGCACACGAGGTAAATGATTTTCATACCGTTACGGCGGCGGAGCAACGTGGGCTGAAAGTGTTTCCCCGAGCTGGGTGTCGCGGCGAGTCTCTGGTTATCATTTTTCAGTACGCGGCTGGCGTACCATTTATCTTGCAACTTTACCTTTATCCACTGGAACTTTATTATTAAGTAAAACAAAGTCTATAAGTCACAGAGCGTTGTCGGGAGAGGTCTGGCCGCTGTCTCGTGTAAAGGGTGTGCCGGCGAGAAGACTGCGGGGTTGGAAACGACGTGAAAACGATTCCAACGGAGTAATGCGATTTCCATGCCGTCGATCGACAAAGAAAACCGAACTTGTTATACTTTTTATATGATTCTTTCCTTACATTTATATTATAATGGCAGTGCCATTTATAATACCCGACTGTAATTTTTCATAATAATAATTTTCCAAATACGTTAGAGAAGCGATACGTTCCGTGTATAAATTCGTTTTTTCCTTCACTTTTTCAGTATCTCTTTCGACGTTGTGAAAAAGAAAAAAAAGAAAAAAAAAACAGCAATTCGAAGGCGAATTCGGAATTTTATTTGCGAATTGCAAAATAAAAGTGTAATCATTGAGTATTGTTCTCCCAATATTAATTTTACGATCATCGTGTTTTTATACGTCGTGGTTAATACAATCCTCCCCTCGTGTTTTCTCTTTTTTATTCCATCGTACGCGCGTAACTTTTTTTTTATTTTATTTTATTTTATTTATTTTTTTGTTTTATTACAGAACGAATTCGATCGATAAATCGAGCACGTTAGGATCGATATTCGATTGAAATATCGTTTTGGCTGCCCGCGCGGGAATATTGTGTCATAAAATATATATTGCCGTTGAAACAATGTGAATACAAGTGAATCGGTGATGTTTTAAGGACCCTTTATTCGCGCGAACCGCGCAAATATCTCTTTGTCATATTTGTCCGGAAGATATGTACGAGATGTTGGTTAAAATTTGCAGATATTTTTCCAAAGATTCCAAATGTGCAGCAAACGTTTCGAAGAAACGACAAGAGAGTTGTGCAACCGTTCGAATTCACGGTTGGTGAAAAAAAAATTGAATGATCTTTTTCCAAATAAAAGAGAAAATTGGATCGTCCAAGGTGTAGTGGCGTTATGTCTTCGCCGCGCTCGTTTCAAACCTTCAAAAAAAAACGATCATGAAAATTCAAGTTTTTGTTCTAACGATATTAATATAAGTTTCAATAAGAGGGAAATTTACGCCGATTTATTCCGCGCAATTTATGCGATCTTCGAATCCCTAGTTGCTTATCGTGCAACCTCTAATTCACGCAAAATTTCATCCCGTTTTATGCACGATATCTTGGAAACGAGGGCTAGACAGATCTTCTTACGCTTCCTCCTTTTCCAACACAGTCTCGTTCACTCGATTATATTCGGATAACGTAGAAAACAAAATTTCACATTCCTGTATACGTACAGATTTATAGGTGGATAATAAAAATCGACACGATCTCGAGATATTCTTGGACGAAATTTGAATTCGCTGGCAGTAAAAAATTGTTGTGAAAAAAAGTTGAAAGAAGATCTAGTAAGGATTCTTAGGGAGAAATTCTCGTTTTATCCCCTACATTTCTTCTCGATCGTGCCGTATATTATCAACGTTCGATTGTTTACCACGATACCACTCATAACTATAAAGAACAACGATCGAGGAGGAAGCGACGAAAGTTTAGTGCGCCGGTGGAATATCAAGTTTGCGGAGTATCGGGGGAGAGCACGGGATGAACTCTCTCCCGATTTGCCGGACGGTGTAATGGCGTGGATTTGATAAATTCGCCGGACGTTTAATGGAAGGTGGCACGTGGCTTTCACGAGGCAAGTTTCTGACCGCCGATAACGCGCAGTTATACCACCTTCGATGAAGATGAGAGAGAATTCGAGCCCCACTTTCCCAAATATTATTCTTCGCCAAGACTCCAATATCGTCGCATAGATTCTCGAAAGGAAAAAAGAAAAATAACAAATCATCTCGGCTCTATCTCTTATAATTGTCTCTGGAGCGACGGAGGAAGAAGTTAAGATAGCGAAGTTAAGAAGTGAGATCGATCGAGCTACCCTTTCCGAGACCTTCTTATTCTAAATGAATCGCAATCGCAAAGGGAACGCGATATCGATTGTCGAAACGATGCTTCTTTCCCTGCTGAAAGCTCCTACCTAAGTCGCACACGTACGCTCGATACGGAGGAAAGTATATATTCTAACGGATGCCAATTTGCATGGCTAAACGTCGTTTCAGATTCGATTCGCTCCCGGCTCCTTTTGCCTCGATGTTTGCACGCGCGGATATATGCATGCGCTCGCAGGCCACCGCCTCGAAATTGGCAAATTTCACGGCGGGGGGGAGGGAAAAAATCGCTTGTCACCGGTGCTTTTGTTAAATCATTTATAAAACGATAACGCTTTAGGGGTGAAAGGAGGAGAAGAGCCATTAGCCGGATAAACGAATTTTCCGGACGCGTTTGAAAATAACGAGGGAAAACGGTTTTCAACCGGTTTAATATTTTCCCTGTTTTGATTTCGAAAATACAAAGAAGAAAAAAAAGAAAAAGAAACAAAAACAAAAGAAGGACAAAGAAAAATGGAGAAAGAGGAATGGTTTGGGAGAAGATGAAATAGAATTTCTATTTTTCGAGAATAACGTACAGAATACGTAGGATACGGTTTAAAGAATTGTTGTTATAACTTGCGGGTAAATATCGCGTAGATATTTTTCCAAATTTTTCCATTCGCAATAGATACACTTCCAGAAAAAAAAAAGAGAAGAAGAAGAAATGTTAGTTTGAATGAAAAACACGGTTGGGTTATAATACACTGGAAGAATTGTGGGGAGCAATTGTATTCAACGGCGAAAGCTTAGCCGAGATCGTAACCGTTATCCTCGCAATCTCACTATCCGTTTCACGGCCTATTTTGCCACGTGATTGGAAACTAAAATCGTCACTCGACTTGCCGCCATTTCGCGTCGTTTAATTTCAACCGAGTTGCTCGTTTTTTTCGAGATATAAAAATCAATGTACGAGGAGCAAGAAATTGTGTGTATAACTAGGAACAGGTTCGTTCGTCTTCGTCTAGCAATTAGAAGGGGAAAGGGGTTGACAATGAGGAGTTTGGAAACAGGAAACGGCGAGAAGCGAGGCGAACGATTACCAAGCATTAGTTACGGCGCAACATAACCGTATAACCATTTCTCTGGGCGCAGCAGTTTGGAAAGCGGTAATTGCAAGACAACTGTTGGCCCTTCGCCTGACGGGGGTGGCAACGAGTGCTTGCATCGTGGACGCGACATCGCGGTCACTGTCGTCCAGTCAGCTGGACGAACACGCGATCTATCGTCCGCGTGATGCACGATGCAGTTTCGCTGAACTGATGAACGTTCAGCGGTCGAATCATTCTCAGGAGAATGAAGGAATGGAGAGGAATGGAGGAATTCGTGGCCTTTGGAATTCGATGGTTCAACGAACGTGGCCGTTACGGTTTTGGAGACGAATTTGGAGAGGATATCTCGTCGATCAGTGACCAAGGAAAAGTAATGGAAGAAATTGTGAAACGAATTTGACTAAATCGCAAATATTTAAACGTCAACTTATGCGATTATATTGGAGGACATTTAAAGAAGAAGAAAAAAAAAAAGAAAAGCCACGATAGAAGAAAACGGAAGTTCGGAAACGTTGCATGGTACAAGACGAGCAAGTTTCCGGATTCTTCTATAAATCCATAACGTTCTTAGGTTGACGTGAAAGACGCGTATCATGAATTATTCCGGTATTCTGGTTACCCGAATTATTCATAAGAAAACAAATGTTGCTCGGGGTACTTGGTTCCATTCGGGACTTTGACGAGAGTCGCATCGCGAAGGAATCTATAAATCTTTCGTACGTCGATGACTCTTTAATTCGAGCGCAATTTCTCTTTCTTCGCAAGTTTCTCGATTTTGAACTTCGAATACGTTATCCATAAGCTTCTTTCTTTAAAATTTCTCCTTTCTAAAATTCATTTCCGCCACCTTGTTACCCTTTAATCTAAAGCTAAAAATAACAAAGTACGCTTCGACACTCGGCGAAATAATTTCGCGAATCACGTAGAATCCGTTCAGGTAAAAATAAATTAGTTAAAAATTTCGAATAAAGTTACTTCGGGTAATCACTTATTAAAATGCTTGAACAACATTTATTCTTACCTATTATAATAGATCCGTTTTTCGTATAACCTCGGCATTATTTTCGATTATTATTACGTCGAACGATAAATTATCGAAGCGACTGGTCGAAATAACTTTATTCCCAACTTCAACTATTAAATTTCGTCCAGTTGGCTGGACGACGCGTACACGAGGGAGACAAGACGCGTTCGAGGAAATCCATTTCAAGGCTGTCTGATCGCGTAAAGGAGATCCATTAAAATCATTCTGCGGTATAATCAGGGGCCTCGAAGTGCAAATCAGTCTCTAAATAGTCCACTAGTAGATCGACCTCCCGTTATCGTGTCCCGTGGCTGGTTTCGAGGCAGACTAGTAGGTAGTCTAATTCCCTGCCTTCAGGGTTGAACCAATTAATAAATTTGTACCGGTCGGCTGGCCACAGAACAGGCTTCTGTCTCCGCCTCTGCTTCAAGAGGTATCCATTGTTGTCGAGACAATGCCCGGCTACTTGCTAGTTAGACTACCTAACTGTCCGCGGTAACGATCGAGCGCTATGTCAGATTAATTAGATTTCAAAGGGAGCGCATCAAAAGGGGATGAAATCTGTTTAATCAGGCATGCCTCGAGTACCAGAAGCGGAAAGTGATGGAGGTTGGG